TGTATTTTTCTTCCCAAGGAGAGCGTTTTAGCATATTCATTGATATGCAAATGCGCCTCCTCTCTGGCTAATTTAGTGGATGGTAATGCATTTTTATCAGTCGCTTCTATTTTTGGGCGCTGCCAAGCATTCGCATTCTCCAATAAGAATTCTGTAAAAAAAAAAAGTGACGAATGGTGGGAGGGGGGACAATGGGCTTGCCTGATCCCCAGCCTTTATGGGGGGGGGGGGAGCGATCGCTCACGGCTCCGTCCGCACAGATGCCTGCTCTGCCTTGCCGCTCTCTCGCGTGAGTGGAGAACACGCGCTCCACCGTTCGCCCGTCCTTCCGGCCCCTCTGTCATCGTTAGCAGAATTTGGGTTAAATCATCATCATCATTGTCGACGAGGCCAGCAACTCCTGTCTTCATGACCACGCCCCCTCCCCCAAACCCCCCACCCATCCCCCCCTACCCCCCACCCACGATTCTCCACCTTTTCAAGGGAAGCAGTAGGGTGGCACAGCAGTCACGCTCGTGCCGCACAGCAAGAAGCTCCCGGGTTCCTTTCCCGACTTGGCCGTGTGGAGTTTGTGTTCTTCACCGGTTCTGCACGGGTGTCCTCCTCTGAGTCCTCCTGGTCCCCCCCTCTCCATTCCCGCCCCCCCATAACTAAACAAAACTTACAATGTCAGCCTCGGTTCAAATTTTGCACAAATCAGAAAAATTTACCACAAATTACTCACGGAGCATTCATAACCCCCCCCCAACCCCACCATCGCCGAGCCAGCTGTTGGGTCGCCGTGTGACGCGCAGGGACAGCTGCCAGTAGGGGGACCTGCGCTTCCAGAAGTTTCGCTGAGCGACTTAGCGCAACCGAACAGCGTGCACGTCCGTTCGTCCGCTTGCTTTCTATTGAAATGCAAAATGAGGGCACTGCGCTCCGCACGCTGCACCTTGATGCTCGGCAAATCGCCGGAAACTGGGAATCTCTCTGCACTCTACCATGGGCTTGGTGCATCGCAGAACGGCAGAGCCGTGAGAGATCCTCTGCTGCTGCTGAGCAATGAGGTAGTGAAGCAGGTAGGTTTGTAACCCATCAGTTGTTCGTCTTCATTTTTCGCGACCGTTCGCTCTGAGCAGCGCAACCTTCCTCCCACGCACGGAAGCACACAACCGGGAGTTGGCCGAAAGTCTCAAGACAAGATGCCGCTGACGCTCTTCAGAAGGAGACGCTCAGTACCGAAGTACAAGTTTAGATAATTAATGCAGCGTGCCTGCCTGATTCCACGATTCAAATAGCTCTCTCTGTTCAAAGGGTGTGAGAATTTTTTGAGTTTTGTATTTGCTAGCTCGGACTAATTCATACCGCGGTTGCAAGATCTGGCCATAGTTAAGAAGCGAGGTGCAGAGGAGATGATGTCATTAATAGTGATTATCGCGCACGCTGATCTTTATCACCAGACAGTGCAGATGCCCCCACTCTAGATGCACGGAGCCCATCTGGGCAGAGCCTCGGCATGCATTAGTCGTGCATTTGATGTAAGCAAGCACTTTGTAATTAAGGCTAACTCTCGGAGGACCAGGATAAATTTGCCCCGGGGCTGTGTGGCGTTTTGTCAGCTAGTGAAACTAAAGGTCTCCTGCAGTTGTGGCATTGCGGTTATAGTCCGGCCGTAGTTACCGCCCCGCTGCTACATATCTCCAACCTCCGGCATCATCATCATCAGCAGCAGCAGCAGGCAGCAAATATACGCTGTGGGCAAAGCGTGCGCTGCCTGTTTAGCACTGGCCCGACTCGTTTCGCATCGTCCAAGCGTTTCACAGGCCCCCCCCACGGGCGTGGAGGATGGGCAGCGTGCGAGCGCCTCGCCGGCGCGTGCCGTGCGTCTGGCCCAGAGTGACGGCGGCAGTGCGTCTCGCATTCCTCGCAGCCAGCCTGTAATTTGGAGTCTAGACGGACGGGCCGGCAGCGCACGCACGCACGCACGCGGTTTGCTCATCTCGACAGCGGGGCCTGTCGCCCGTCTCCGCCCGCGGCGGCGGCGCCCGCCAATTAACTGGAGCCGCGCGACGACCCCCTTTTGCACGTCGGGGCCAGCGGGGCGAGTGCAGCGGCAGAAGAGACAGGAGGCAAAAGGTGTGGCCCATGTCATTGATACCTCACGCACCGGCTGCGCGATATCTCTCGCACAGGCTGCGCGAGATATCAACGTCGGGTGGCCCGCCGCGCCTTTGCCCCCTCTCGAGGGCATTCGTGCCGACTCTTCCATGCTCAGTCCGCAGACGTCTTGCAAGAGACAGGAACGCCTGCACTTGACCCCCCCTCCACCACCCGTGGACCTGCCGACCGACTCTCACTGCAGTGAACCCATGCCATCGTTTCGACCGTCGCGCCGGGACATGGGAATGGAACCGGTGGACCCTCTTGATCGCGATTGTCCAGCGCCGGTGTCCGTTAAACCCACGGCAGCTCCCCCACAGCGAAGCCGGGCTCGTGTCGTTTGGGCCGCCCTCCTCCTCCAGCAGCTGTCGAGGCTGCCCTGGTTACCGTCATTCGTGAAATGCGGTAAAAAATCTTTGTGCTCTGCGAAGTGTCTGGGAGATTTGAATATATTTTTCAGGAGAGTCCTGCTGTTGATGTGAGGCTATTCGGGTGTTGTTGCGCAGAGAGCCTGGGGAAAAGCCACACGTGCAAGTGGGAAGCGCTCGGTGATCGCACGAGCCGGTCTGACATGTACTTGCTGTACTGCATTCTGACAGGCCACCACCTCACTGGCCAGTCATGGACCTCATCCTTGTGTTATCCAGAAACCTCACTGCCAAGTTGCTGGATTACAGTGAATGCCCAATTGTGTGCAGTTTAATTATTATTTGAAGGTGTGTGTATATATCTTTATATGTGTATGTATGTACAGAACATGGTGTGTGTATATATGTGTGTGTGTGGACCGGTGCCGCAGAGGTTAGCACGCTGCGCTACGGACCCTGTGACTTGAATTTAATTCCTGGCCACGGCCAATACCAGTTACGATTATCTGATCCGATCCTACGCCTCCTCTAGGCCGACTCAGCCTTAAATGAGTATCTGGAGTGGTGTGTAAAGATCGCCACTGGGCAGACAAAGGCGGTAAGGCGAGGTGCTGCCCACCCCCACCACCCGCTCTTGTGCCATGCTGGCCTTCATAGGTGCTCGCTAACAGCATTTGCCCCAGGTTTGTAACACAGAGTTCCTATACCATTTAAACACACAGATGTCCTGTTGTGAGACATGCAGAGCATCGCGCGCTCTGAGATGCGCTTCTATGGCCGTCTGGAACGCTCTTCCTTCCGATATTAGGGAGCCACCAGACCTCTGCCCTTTTAAATCATTTCGATTGAGAACTAATTTATTTCGAACTGCTTTTTGGTGTTTTATATTGTTCCCCCCCCCCCCCCCCCCGGCACCTCCGATTAGCACGGCTAGCTACGTACTGCGCGAAAGAAGTTCAACGTGCACGCTTGCTTACGCACACAGCACGCGTAGTGCCTGGCCCGGTGCGCTCACAACCCTTGCACCACCCCTCCCTCTCCGTGTATGAAACGCCGAGGGGATCCACATCGACATTTGCCTTGCCTTCATTTTTTAGACTCGGTTGACCCTGAAAAAAAAAAAACCCGCGTTGCGTAACTTTTAGTCGTGGCAGCCCATCGGCAACTTGGTTCCCGTGAGGTCAGCCTGTGCGTTATGCCTTGGCTGCCATGCACACACACAAACACCGAGGCAGTGTTAATAAACTGAGCTACGTAGCTCCCTTTCTAGAAGCGACCCGGCCGTCACAAACGATAGCTCGACGAAGTGGCTCATCATCACGTTGAAATTTATCGTGGCAGCCATATACTCGGAATGCACGTTGACCGCGGGGCGAGAGACACGCAAACTCCAAATATACAACAGGTGTCAGGGTCGGGATGGAACCCACGGCCTCCTGTATACCAGGCGAGGTAGTTAACATCTCGCCACAGTTATCATGCAGGGCTGCCCAGAGGTTTCCGGGGGGGCGGGGTGGCCCTTATTCACGATCCACTTGCCCATTGTGGGGCCCTCTTTCCTGTGAGGCCTGGAGCTATACATTGCTCCCTCGTGCTGCCCTTCCCTCTGGGCAGCCCTGTTGCCATGTGTCCAGGCACACGGCCGCTGAGCCGCTCGTATTGTCGTGCTGAGCAAACCTGGACAGCAGAGGCTAACGTTGCAGCCGTCGAATGCGGATCGCGGCGTGGGTTTGGCCAGGCGGCTCGGAGGGACGATAAACACCGGGTCGGACCACCAAGCCGGCACCACGGAGATCCTGAGTTCAAATGGAGCAGCCACCCACGATTACAAACTTTTATTTCGTGTTTACTTTGAGGAGAAAGCGTTGGGAAGGAGGCGAATTGTCCTGGAAACAGGATCTTCAGAGGCGCGTTCCCACGCTTTCGTTTAGCCTGCGTGCAGACGGAACCATTGTGAAATTTTCCATAAAAATGAGATATTTGCCGTCCTGCATGCACGCGTATGTATGCCAATCGGAGTCATGGGGGAAGGACAACAAACTAAGCACAAAAAGCAGTTCTCAAGAAATTAGTTTTCAATCGATGATTTAAAAGTGCATGGCTCCAGTGGCCTGCTAATGTTGGAAGGAAGAACGTTCCAGACGGCCGTAGAAGCGCATCTGAAAGTGCGCGATGCAGTGACCGTCTCTGTTTGATGGTTAGCCAAAGGACGATGCGAGGAAGAGCGTAGTTTCGCGTGGTGGTTTCTGCTCCTTGACGAGATCAGCGAGGGGTTGCAGTTCGTTTGTGGCAAGCGTGTGTGTGTGCGCGCACTCATTTGTGTTTTTCCGACATCAAACTACTTTGGCGTAACTTTACAAGGCTTTTACCCGCTTTGCTCATATACATATGTAGGCGGTCGATATATTGGCCTTGGGGTTATTGAGTACCGTCCCTACGACTTCTCTCCGTGGCCAAACGTCTGCGCTCTGCTGTGCTCCTCTCCGGCAGCAGGGAAAGCGGCGGCGGCAGCGGCGGCGGCGGCGGCGGCAGCGGCGGCGGCGGCGGCGGAGGAGCGGGGATCGACGTTCTCCCCCTACAGCCGGGAGCCCAGCAGCATCCAGTGCCACCCGGTGAGACGCTCGCATCCCCCCCTCCCCCCATGCATGTGTGCGTGTGCGCGCGTGCACGTGTGTAAACGGCAGCACCGGGGAAGACAAAGACGGCCCGACATGTTGCTAGCCCACCCCGCCCACCCTACTGGACATGTGTGAAAAAGAGCTTCACAGCTCATCGGATTCCTCCAGTCTGAATCACTGATTCTGGTGACGATAACGGAGGGGTGTGATGCGCTGTGAACCCGGTGACTTTTGAGTTATGCTTGCCGACCGTCTACACTTTGAGTGGTAGATGATGTCATCAGAGATGATGATGTCATCAGAGATGATGATGTCATCGGAGATGATGGGACCTAGGTCGACCCTTCCGGTGGCAACGTGTGAATATCGGCGCGGGGGAGATGACGGTGACCGGACATGTGCCATGTGAACCCCCAGCAAGTGTTCGCCGAGCCTCGGTTTCCTCTCGCATCGCCGAATTCCGGACTTGCGCCACCCATGCCAGCGTGTCCAACGCTTCGCTGCGATGTTGTTCGCGTTTGCAATAAAAGGTAGCGGGTTTCCCCCCCCCCCCCTCTCGTTAAAGAGCTGCACGTAGCTGAGCGGAAGGAGAGGGCCATTTGGGAATGTCGTTCGTTGACATCGTTGATGAGTTGGGGGTGGAGAAAGGGGCTGCTCCCAGTGGGACTCGGAGGTCCTTCTGGGTCAAAGCCAGGAGTCAAATTATTCGTTGGGAAATTTGATCACCTAGGGGGGGGCGGTGTCAGGGAGGGGACCCGTGCTGATCCTCACGTCGTTGCCAGGGCATAGAGCGGAGATTGGCACGGTTGGCTACGTACGGTGCGAAAGAAGTTCTACATCCGTGCGTGCTGCGCGTGGGCGTGTGTCCACACGCAAGCAGTTGCGGTGGCGAGCGAAGACCGGCCGTAAGGTTTTATCTACAAAATCCGTAAACTACGCGGACATTACAGTTTTTTCTTGTTAGCATCTGTCGCAGATTATATCCCCTGTTTTTATGCTATGCGTGTCTAATCATCGAGCAAAGTATCGTTTTTGTCAAAGGTAAAGACATGCCAAGTTGCAACGCTGCAGTTGCTCGCTAACGCTATTGCTGGCCTTTGGCCCTCTTCCCCCATCTTGACCAACTCGCACTGACCAACGCGGTGAAGTATGGTCAGCGAACAGTGAGAAGGCCATCATCCAGCAGCAGATTGACGAAAGGCTGTACACGTTAAAGGCAATTGATTGCCACGCCACTGTTGACAGAAGGACTTCCACTGTCGAGGGACCGCTCGCGAGACCATTTAAAGCAGGGGTCCCCAACCACCGGGCCGCGGATCGGTACCGGTCCGTGGCCTGTTAGGAACCGGGCCGCACAGCACGAGGTGAGAGCGGTGAGTCCGCATGTGGCCCGTCCCCATTATTTTATTATTTACCACTTCCGTCCGCGCCTCTTTCCCGCACTGCGCACTTGTCTCAGTTACAGTGTTGGTAAGCCCACAAGCTGACCCCTAGTAGCCAAAATGATAAAAAAACAAACGTCGCTGGAGAGCTTCTTTGAAAAGGGGGAAGACCCAATGATGAACAACCCCCCCCCCCCGGTCCGTGAAAAAATTGTCTTCCACGAAACCGGTCCCTGGTGCCAAAAAGGTTGGGGACCGCTGATTTAGAGGGTTAGTCTTGCCCTTCTCTTCCACACTGGTCAGATGTCTTAGGAGGGGATACAAATACCCACGTTGTACCCCACCACACACATGTTGCCACCGTGAGGCGCCACCTGGCCAACTGCAGCTCTGGATTGTTTGTCAGCGTTGTGCAACTGGACAGCTGTGAAAAAGAGCTTCATGGCTCATCGGATTCCTTCGGCATAAATTAATATTCTGATTCTGAAAAGTCCGTTGTTTTTCTTAGCTGTTTGGTCACTTAATTTGGTTGTACTTTTATTATTTCCTATTTGGCTAGTTTGACTCATGTTTAGTGCCCTGTGCGATATTGAACAATATGGGGTGGAGTGGTGGCGCAGTACTTAGCGCACTGTACAGTCAACCCAGTCCTGGGTCACACACTTTTATCACCCTGCACTGACCAGCGTGGTGAAGTACGGTCAGCTTTAAATGCAATCTGAACATATCCTGGGCATTTTATTTACAGAAAAAACTTCACTCTAGACGATCTGAAAAGGTCTTGTCTGGAAACTTGGACGATGTCCTGGCTGGGGGAGGGTTACCACTGGTGCCAAACACGGGAAGTTTTACAAGAGATGTTATAAAAACGGGCAGCGCTGCGACGTTTAAAACCGTGATTCACTTGGGACGTACACGCTGCGGGGCCAAAACAGTACTAGTATCCTTTATTTAACCAGGAGATGAACATCCTTGAACCTTTGAGACACATGTAACATTGCATATTTTGCAAGGGCACGTTACAGTGTCTGCTCTTTGCAGTGGCCGTACAAAGCACCCACAATTACGACGTCATTCGTGGTCTGTGCGAGAACGCGCTGCAATATCGCGCGCTAAATGCACCGTGTGCGTGGGGGGAGCCTGGGGTGAGTGGGGGGTGGGTGGGGGGGGTGCTGGTTGGGGGTGGGGGCCTCGGGTGATCAAGCGCAGAGAGCCGCGGGGCCGCCTGCACCACAATGCGTAAGCGATACGGCTCGCCAGCTCGCCCAGCTCCCTTTCGTTTCGCGTGCCAAGCCCAGGGCTCGCTGACGCACGCACACACACACGCACACACACACACGCACACACACACACGCACGAACGCACACGAAAGCACACACACGCGCGCGCGCGCCACCGTTGTCCACGGCGCCTCGCAGAACGTGGAATGCGTTGCGGCGGGGGTTGCCGTCGGGCTCGGGGCTAACGGCGGCCGCCCTTTTGTGTTGCGTCGTGGGCTGCTCACGCGGGCGACGCTCGCGAGCCTCCTCGCCGTCTTTGGTTGTACCGTACTGCGGCCCATCGTGCTCCTCTCCGCGGTTCGTGACGGGCCGGAGGGTGGCGGCTCCCTGGGCAGATGTGGGGCACCACAGAACTGTGGCCGCAGCTTTTCCACTGGGTCCGAGTGAGCCATTATAAGGCAACTGGGTTTGCTCATTTCCCGTTTACGGCCCGGAGCCACGGTTGAGGAAATTCCACATTCCTATGGCAGGGGGTGAGTATGCATAGGACAACCGCTGTTGACTTCCCCGCAAAAGTGGTACTAATTTTACTAGTCCCCCCTCCGGAGGTGATGATTGTCTGAATCGACCCCCAGCCAGGATTCGAACTCGCAACCTCGTGAGTGCGAGCCGCTCGCTCCGCCGCCGATTCACCCGGCCTGACTTCCTCTACCCGCTTTGACAATCGCTTTGGCCAATGTTTAAATATTTTTCCTTTACAGTTCTCGCAAGTCACGCTTCAACGTGTGTGCCTTCACCCTCGTTCGTCAGCGTGGAGCACTTTTCCAATCCAGGTTTTTTTTGGTTTCCATTACTGGATGGCTAAAGTGTGAGTATTTATGATTAATCTAGACCCCCCCCCCACCACAACGGGGGGAGAGACTTTTTGTGGTGGATCAACCAATCGGTGCCTTTAGAGGCCTTGGTCTGTTGTCCTGCAAGGGTCTGCCCTGCGCAAATGTGTCACTTTCCCGTAAGCTGCGCAGCTTTGGTCACACTCGGCTGTGCCGACTATGCCGGCACAGCCGAGTGTGACCAAAATATGTACCAGATTGAGTTTTATGCATCGTTGTGTTTCTTGTGCAGCAATTACAGTATGGAGCGGGTAGAAACTAGAGGGAACTCTGGGTACGGCCATGGCAGTTGTGACCCCCACCTTGGCTCGAGATACTGCAAGAAAGTGATAATTTCGGGTGAGGAACCACAAGTTCCAGAAGGGTTTAGGTACAGGATAGAGATGCTCTTGGGGTGGAGATCACAGCAGTGGTGAAATGCTAACTACCTCGCCTGGTATACAGGAGGTCGTGTGTTCGATCCCGACCCTGACGCCTGCTGTATATTTGGAGTTTGCGTGTCTCCTCTCCCCATGGTCGCGTGGATTTTTCTCCGGGTCCTCCGGTTTTTCCCTCCACATTTAGAATCATGCGTTTAGAGTATTTGGCCGCTATACATTTCCACATGGTAAGCCACTTCTTTGAGCTGTCATTTGTGGCCAGGTCGCTTCTGAAAAAGAGCTACATAGCTCAGCGGGCCTTACCTGGTAAAATAAAAAGTGTAATCGTTTAGTTTAATTGCTGTGGTTATCCCACTGCGCTATTAACCTTGGCCACATGAGTTAGATTCTCGGCCGCCGCTAATCTCAGTGGAAAGCGATATCAGAACAGGACTTCCCCCTCTGCACAAACCCGCAACTGACCAGCTCAGTGAGGTACAGTCACGCACAGACCCCGAATTCTCACCGCGGCATGTGCTCCGACCATGATCGCGTAATTTATTATTTCGAGATGTATCTTTCGGAACGAACAAGGCGGGAATAATATCCCCCCGCGGGGAGCCGTTTTCGCGGCGATCGTTGGTCGAGAGGACCCCCGGCAAAGTTTTGACGTTCGCCTCCGAGGTGCAGAGCGGTCCCCCACCTGGGTGGGGCACTGAGCCCTCTCCCCCCCCCCCTCTTCATTAAGCCCCCCCCCCCCCAGGAATTTTTTTGTTCCCCACCTCCGTCTCTGTGATAGTCGGTTTGTAAACTGGGACTCGGCATGGGAGGGGTTGAGTTGTAATAAAAACGAAACAAACATTCTCCAAAGGGCCGCAGATCCTCTCCCAACAGTTCACCTCGTCTGCTTCGTGTTCCTGCTTGACACCCCCCGAGCTCCACCGTCACCCCCCTATCCTCCCCTGCTCACTCCCCCGACCACTGTGGCTGTACTTTTTAAAATGTGGATTTACGAGCAAGAGAGTGTGGTTGTCTAGAATGCTGGCAATGTCCGTGCCCCGTGGGGGTGGGGGGCGTGATGCGGTCGGGTCGGGTGGTTGTGGTGGTAGGAGTAGGGTGGTGGTGGGAGTAGGATAGTGG